GTGCCACCACCCGTCGCACAAGATCAGGGTCCCGATGCACCAGCTTGTGGTGACTAACCAGTGCTGCTACTGCTCCCTTACCTTTTCGTCTGTGGTGCTGGCCAAGAGGCACGCGGTGCAGTCACTTCGCCGTCGCCGCTGCCTCACAGATTTCAGTGCGTATTCACCCCCCCTGGTTGTGCCCGATGACCTCCACTGTCCGATCTGCGTGGATCCAGAGTCTGCACACGAGGCTTTCAGAGAGGGAATGGCCGAGGCCACACTGGCTCAAGAGCCGTTTCAGACGCTGCAGGCACTTCAGACACACATCCGAGAAGCCCACGCGCCGCCCGCCCCCGATCTTGTGCTGGATGTCGAACCTGGCGGAGCGGGCTCTCGCCACTGGGACGGAACAGAGGCGACGCGATCTCGAAGGTGGGCGAGGCGATCGGACTCGGAGTGGAGACCGCCGAGGACGAGGCGCTCGGGGAGCCCCACCGCAGCAGCGAGGAGCGGGCCCCGCGGCCGCGACGCCAGGAGCAGGTCAGCCCACGCAGCAGCAGATCGACGTGTGGGGCGCTACCGACAACCACTACGGGCTGAGAGAAGACGACGTCAGGAACCTTCCGCACATCCCGATCGAGCAGGTGCAGCAGATGATGCCCATCCTGATGCGCATGTCCCTCAGGCACGAACAGGCGATCAACGCCCTCGAGTCGGCCATCTTCCGTCACGTCCAGCTCCCCGCCAACCACGACGCGCCCCAGTCGATGATGCTCACGGCGCGGTGCTACGGGCAGGAGGCCAAGCGACTTCGAGAGGCGAATCAGGCCGCCCTGAAGAACGGCGACCCCGTCCCCGAGCTAGAGGCGCTGGGGATCCCCCATCCACACGTGTGGGTCGCGCTGGTGGGCGCACTCGTGGGACAGGGAGACAAGGTGGGCCAGGCCAACGCGAGGCTAATTAAGGAATACCAGGATCGCATGAAGGCGGCACCCACTTCCAACGGCGAACTGGCCGACCAGGTTCGGCATTGCAGGCTGCAGACGACTCGCGCGCAGGACAAGGTCAAGATTTGGATAGAGGCCAAAGCGACAGGCATAGAGGACACAGTCGTAGCCGCTCTGGTGCAGCTCGGGGGGGTACACAAACACGGAGCGCCACCACGCTCCCACAACGCCAGGCTGTTGCAGATTCACCTCGACGCGCAGTAGTGGCCAGGCTGCTGGAGGCTGTGAGGGGAGAAGGGCCTGCAGGCACGCACTGCTCACCTCCCGAGCCGCAGCTCGGAGGCAGAGGGTACCGACCTTGCAGGTCCGAGCTGACAGGGCCCGCAGGCACGCACTGCTCACTCTCCGAGCGGACTCGTGAGAGCAGAGAGTACCGACCTTGCGGGTCCGAAGCAGCAGTGGGGCTGGCATCACAGAGGCTATCGACTGGACGGTTGGCGACTTTGACCACGCCGTTGAGGGCCACCTTCTCTCGTTCACTAACCTTGACAGCATCACAGATGGCGGCTCCGACGGAGGGGAGATCAAGATCTCCGCGACCACAGAGAGCTACTCGACCTCTCACCTCGGCCACGTCTTCAGTGAGTTCGGCTACTCCTGGTCCGATGACTTCGATTAGGCCGAATAATCTCGCCGTCGCTGCCGCCTCCCCAGACCTCCAGACTCCTCCTCCTCCCACTCCCCCGATCCCTCTCAGCAGAGTCTTGGGTCTTCTAGGTCTCAGAAAGCGAGAAGGCCCTCCCCCAGGGCCGTAACTTTTTAGCTTTGTGGGTTCAGTGGCCCCTTGGGGCCGCTCGGGCCTGCCTGAGTCGTAGCTGGCCTTTTTCCTGAAATTCGAGAGGCGAGGATCTGACTGATAATGCTGGGCCTCCCTGCTCTGCGTTTTCTGTTTGGTGACTCGAAGTTTCGTCCCGATTTTCGACCCACGTCCCCACGGCCGTGCCCTGCCTTTAAAGCTTTGGGGCCCTCCAGCCGAGGTGGGGTAAGGTGGGCGGGAGCAGAGTGCACCTAGTGCCACGCGTGACCAGTCTATATTGAGTCACCGCGCCCTCTAGAAGTGCGTCAGTTCGGAGCTTCTTTATTTTGGCTTCGGAGTTCCCCGCGTTACGGCAGGATCATCTGGCACCCTTCTGCAGAGTCGTTCGTTCGTTCGTTCTCCTCCTCCTCCTCCTCCTCCTCCTCCTCCTCCTCCTCCTCCTCCTCCTCCTCCTCCCCCTCCTCCTCCCCCTCCTCCCCTCCTCCTCCCTCCTCCTCCTTCTCCTCCTCTCTCTCCTCCTCCTCCTCCCTCTCCTCCTCCTCCGCCTTTTCCTCCTCCTCCTCCTCTCCTCCTCCCTCCTCCCCTCCCCATCCTCCCCCTCTTCCCCCCCTCCTCCCCCTCCTCCCTCCACCTCCTCCTCCTCCTCCTCCTCCTCCTCCTCCTCCTTCTCCTCCTCCTCCCCCTCCCAAGGATGCGCGATAAGGATGCGCGATCAGGATGAAGGGCAGGGGGTGGACCGGAAAGGTGTCCTGGGCGATCTCGCGGCCGCTCTCGCTCCGACCTCGTTCTTTGCAGCAAAGGTCAGCACACGCCCTCCTCCTCCTCCTCCTCCTCCTCCTCCTCCTCCTCCTCCTCCTCCTCCTCCTCCTCCTCCTCCTCCTCACAAGGGGGGTTTGGGGGGAGGGGTGAGGGCTGCCTGCTTAGAAGCACCCCTGCTTCTGAGAAGGTGCGGGCCTTATCTGTAGATGCGAGGCCAGCGCCTTCTAAGAAGCAGGGTGCTGCTGAGGAACCCTCCGCCCTCCCCCACCCCCTTGTGCGCGCCGCCAGAAAGGCGGATCGACGACGAAGCGAGGGGAAACGAAAAGAAACTACGAAAGCGAAAACCACTGTTCAGGTCTATCCCTGTGCCAGGGCCAGTGTCCCTGACGCCGGCGCGTGCGTGGAAGGCTGAGCGCCATCCTCGAGGGCCGCTTCCGAGCTCCAGGGCCTCCAGGAAGCAACACACGCCGCAGCTTCCATGCAAAAGATGGGGTCCATACAGCTCCACATGAGGGCGGCGGAGATGGGGGGCCGACCGGCCGCCGCTTTTGCAAGCCAGGCGGTGTTCAAAACCCTACCAAGCCGCCTTCGGTGTCCGATGTAGATTTCCCTTCGTTTCAATCTCTCTTAACCTGTTACGTTGTTTACGATTTCTACAAATTCGTGACAAATTATTTCAGTCAGACCTGACGGCGCGCTAAACTTTCGCCGCCCCCGTTGGCGCTTCCCCCATGTGGCGCTGAGGCATAGGTCTCCCCCTCCTCTTGGGGCGTCGGCAGCAGAGATGGCTCACGGTGGAACGGGTCACGCGGCCGCAGAAACGATGAGCAGAAGACGCCATTACAGGAGACCACGCCACACGGCCAAAGTTTGTAGATGAGGTCCACTTCGGTGTCGAGAGGGGTTCGGTGTTCGTCGGGCCCTCCTGTGGGTCGTGGGAGGAGGAGGAGGGAGGAGGGGGAGGAGGTGGAGGAGGGGGAGGAGGGGGAGGAGGAGGAGGAGGAGGAGGGGGAGGGGGAGGAGGGGGAGGAGGGTGAGGGAGGTGTTCGTCGGGCCCTTCTGCGGGTCGTGCCCGGGACTTCCTCGTGAGTTTGGGTGCAGCCGAGAGGCCCACCGCGGGGCTCCCCTCCCGATCCGGGCTCCCGCGCGGTAAGCAGCTGACCGCACTGCCACGCGTGCGGCTGCCGGGGGGGGCCCACTCGGCCCCGACCTCTGCTGCAGCGTTCGGCGCCCAGGCCTCCTCGAATGCTCATGGGTGGCCTTGGGCTTTCAGGAGGGAAAAAACCACACACAGACACAATTCATCGACGATCCTAAGGAAAATATGGGAAAATATGGGAAGTGGGGGGGGAGGCAAAAACCCAGAAAATATGGGAATAGATGGGGAATCTTTTTATTTGTGTATATTTATTTGTGTGTCCTGGGGCCCCTTCAGACTTATGATGTTCCAGCTGGTTCTTAGCCTTGAGCACCGGAAAGAATTTCCAGCGCCAAGAAGGTACCGAGATCGAAGAGTTTCCACGCGTCGGGCCCTGGGAGGCGGTACTCGTTCGACACTGTTTCGATGCTTTCTGGGTGCCCGAGATGACATAGCCTTGGACTGCCTCGAGTGGCACAAGATGACCCCGAACATGGCGCAGGCCACTGGGCGGAGCCTGCGTGCTGCCCAGGGGTGTCCCTGGCCCGATGCGCCCCCCCGGGATTTCTGGGGATGCCGCGCGGCTTCCGGGGCACCCCGCTTTACGCGGCCTGGAGGGCCCGGTGCGGCTCGGCTCCAGAGCGGCGGGAGGGGCCAGGGACACTTCGGACCAGGAGCACATACAGCTGAGACCCGTGCCAAGAGGCACATACAGTGGAGACCCATGCCAAGAAATGCCCAGCTTGCCTCCAGGGTGCCCTTGGTTTCTTGGATGTCGATGGTCCTTCGATGGACAGCGCGACGTTCCCACGCCTAGAATCGGCGGACGTCCTAGTCCTGGGGTCTCAGAGTTGTGTTTCCTGTGGAAGGTTTCTTGTGGTCGGGCCCCTGCTGTGTGGCAGCATTTGGCAACCTTGCAGTCGACCCGCATAGCCATTAAGGATGAGCGAGTTCCCGAGCCTACCCTTGCATCCTTCCCCTTCGGCCCATCCTTGCCCGCTTTCGCTGGCCGCGCCACGCTCGCAAAGCGCCGCCATGGCCCTCCAAGGCCCTTTCATCATTATCGTACGTTATCATCGTTCAAGGTTGGGGAAAAGTGCTTCCTTTTGGCTTGTGCGCGTATCCGCCAATTGTCACAGACTGCCCCGAGCGAGACGAGTGGCGTGCTGTTCTTCGCTGGTTCACGCCTTCCCACAACAAGAATCATCGTGCGTTCCTATTTCGCGGGTTGACCGCGCTGCGTCGGCGAGAGGGCAGAGGAGGCTCACCTTCGAGCGCGCTCCGTGCGCAGAAGCGCCGCCGCCGCCGCCCCCCGCGGCTGCTGGCCGCCCCGGGCCGTCACCGGGCCGTCACGGAGTGCCAGGAGACCAGCACGGCCGTCGGCGCCGTCTGCGCCTGAGGCGGGCACCTCTAGGCCTCCCCAGAGCTTACCTTCGGTCATGTCCGCACGCTTTTGGAAATATTGGTGACCGCGTTGTTAACGTTCTTGCGCTCCTGCGTTCTGTCGGGGTCTCGCAGGGGAGCGGTGGCGAAGGCGAGGGTATGCTTCGAGCGAGGAGGAGGGGTGCAGGGCTGGACCTGAACGCTGTTTTGCTGGACTTCGGCTGTGTTTTTTTCGTTGTGGCAGGCCGGTGCAGCAAAACATGTAGAGCAAAATGAACAACAAAACGAAAGCAAAACGAAAAACAACGTTTGGGTCCAGCCCTGGAGAGGTTGGAGGGAGGGTTCCCTCTCTGTCTCTCTCTCTCTCTCTCCCTCTTTCCTTCTCTCCCTCTCAGGAGCGCATCGCTTGAAACTGTGGAACTGCGGTGATGATGCTGGTGATGGTGATGCCGATTGATGATGACGGCTCGTGCAGGCGAGTCCCGGGCGACCCTCAACCTTCCCGTTTTTCTTCTTCGCTCCTCCCTCTCCCGACTAGTCCCTCTCTCCCCCCTGCCCCCGCTGCCACCCGTGACCTTCTCCTCCACCTAGTACTTGTCTTCCTCCTTGGGCCCCGCCTTGTGGTTCACTTAGGGTTTCCCCCTGTGGTTTTCACCAACCTTTGGCTTTCGGCGCTTCTCTCGTTTTCGGCGCCTCTTTGGTTTTCGGCGCACCTTTGGTTTTCGGCGCTCTTTTTGGTTTTCGGCGGCATTTTTGTTTGCGGTGCCCCCTGGTGTTCTGCACCCTTTTGGTTTCCGGCGCCCCTTTGGTTCTCGGCGCCTCGGCGCCCCTTTGGTTTTCGCCGCCATTTCGGCTTTCGGCGCCCCTTTGGTTTTCGGCGCCCGTTTGGATTTGGGCGCTCCTTTGGTCTTCGGCGACATTTTTGTTTCCGGCGCCCCTTGGTTTTCTGCAACCTTTGGTTTTCAGCCCCCCTTTGCTTTTTGGCGCTTCGGCACGCCTCTTTGGTTTTCGCCGTCATTTCCGTCTTCGGCGCCCCTTTGGTTTTCGGTGCTCTTTTAGTTTTCGGCGCCTCTTTGGTTTGTTGGCGCGCCTTTGATTTTCGGCGCATTTTTGGTTTTCGGCGCCTATCGGTTTTCGGCACCCTCTTGGTGTTCGGCGCAATTTTGGTTTTCGGTGCATTTTTGGTTTTCGGCGACCTGTTGGTTTTCGGCGCCCCTTCGGTGTTCGGCGACCTGCTGGTGTTTGGCGCTCCCTTAGTTTTCGGCGCCCCCTTGGTTTTCAGCGCTCCTTTGGTTATCGGTTTTCGGCGTCCCTTTTGTTTCCGGCGCCCGTTTTGGTTTCGGCGCCCCATATGGTTTTTGTTTGCGCTCCACTGGCTTCCAGCGCCCTTCTGGTTTTCAGCGTCTCTTTGTGTTTGGTGTTCAGCGCCCTTCGGTTTTCGGCGCCCCTTTACTGTTCGGCGCCCCTTTGGTGTTCGGCGCCCCTCTGGTTTTCGGCGCACCTTCGGTTGTCGGCGCCCCCTTGGTTGTTTTCGGCGCCTCTTTGGTATTCGGCGCCTCTTTGGTTTTCGGCGCCCTTTTGGTTTTCAGCGCCAGGTTGGTTTTCGGCGCCCCTCTGGTTTTCGGCGCCTCTTTTGTTTCGACGACTCTTGTTTCTCGCGACGCCCCCTTGGTGTTCAGCGCCCCTTTGCTGTCCGGCGCCTTTCTGCTGTTCGGCGCCCTGTTGTTTTTTGTTTGTTTTGTTTTCGGTGCCCCCTCGATGTTCTGCACTCGCTTGGTTTTCAGCTCCGATATGGTTTTCGGCGCCCATCTAGTTCTGGGCGCCCGTTTTGTTTTCGGCGACTCTCGTGTTCTGCGGCGCCCTCTGGGACCTCGGAGCTCCCTTGCTGTTCGGCGCCCTTTTGGTTTCTGCTGCTTTTTTGGTGTTCGGTGCCCCCATCGGTGTTCGGCGCTCCTTTGTTTTTCATATCCGATTCGATTTCTGGCGCCCATATAGTTCCCGGCGCCCTTTCTGTTTTCGGCGACTTTTGTTTTGCGGCGCCCTCTTGGTTCTCGGCGCTCCTTTGGTGTTCGTCGCCTTCTTGGTGTTCGGCGCCCTTTTGGTTTCTGGTGCTTTTTGGGGTTTTCGGTGCCCCCTCGATTTTCGGCGCTTCTTTGGCTTTCATATCCGATTCGATTTCCGGCGCCCATCTAGTTCTCGGCGACTTTTTTTTTTCGGCGCCCTCTTGGTTTTCGGCGCTCCTTTGGTGTTCGTCGCCTTTTTGGTGTTCGGCGCCCTTTTGGTTTTTGGTGCTTTTTGGGGTTTTCGATGCCCCCTCGGTTTTCGGCGCTCCTTTGTTTATCATATCCGATTCGATTCCTGGCGCCCATATAGTTCTCGGCGCCCTTTTTGTTTTCGGCGACTTTTGTTTTGCGGCGCCCTCTTGGTGTTCGGCGCTCCTCTGGTGTTCGTCGCCTTTTTGGTGCTTGGCGCCCTTTTGGTTTTTGGTGCTTTTGGGGGTTTTCGGTGCCCCCTCGGTTTTCGGCGCTTCTTCGGCTTTCATATCCGATTCGATCTCCGGCGCCCATCTAGTTCTCGGCGCCCTTTTTGTTTTGGGCGGCTCTTTTTCTTGCGGCGCCTCCTTGGTTCTCGGCGCTCCTTTGGTGGTCGGCGCCCTTGTAGTGTTCGACGCCCTTTCGTTTTTTGGCGCCCCTTTGGTTTCTGGCGCCCCTTTGGGTATCGGCGCCTTTTTTGTTGGTCGCCGCTCGTTCGATTTTTGTTGCGCCTCTTTGATTTTCGGCGATCCGCTGGCTTCGGGCGCCCCTGTGGCTTTCAGCGCTCCTTTTGCGATCGTTGTTTGGCGCCCTTTTTCGGCGCCCCTTTCTGGCTTTCGGCGCACTTTTGGTTTTCGGCGCCGCTTCGGTTTTCGGCGCCTTTTTGGATTTCGGCGCCCGTCTGTTGCTCGGTGCCCCTTTGGTTTTTGGCGCATTTCTGGTATTCGGCGCTTCTTTGGTTCTCGGCGCTCCTTAGATTTTCGGCGCCCTTTTGGTTGTCGGTGCCCTTGTTGTTTTCGGCGCGCCTTTGCTATTCGGTGCCCTTTCGGTTTCCGATGCCCCTTTGGTTGTCGGCGCCCTTCTTGTTTTCGGGCGTTTTCGGTTTTCGGCGCCCTCTCGGTTTTCGACGTCCATTTCGTTTTCTGCGCCCCTTCGGGATTCCCCCTTTGGTGTTCGGTGCCTCTTTGGTTTTCGGCGCCCCTTTTGTTTTCGGCGCCCCTTGGGTTTTCGGTGCCCTTTTTGGTTTCGGCGCCCTTTTCGAATACTTTGAGATTATTGGGTAACTCTGGCTAGCCTTGGAACGAACCCCAAAGACCCGAGAGAAGTAGCTAATCGATAGGGTTGAACAATCAGCGCCGCCTGGTGATACAACACAGCGGCTTTCCCGGTGGCTCCGTCTGAGTGATCGGGTCCAGGTATGGGTGGCGGATCTAGGCCATTCATTCTTCATAGATCTTTCTCAGGAGCCCCAGCCGCCACCAGTTCGACATGTGTCAGAGCCCCGAATCATCCAGGGTAACTCGGGTCAGGGCCAACCCTCGGGTTCGTTTTTCGGGAATCCGAACCCGAGTTGCCCCGGGCCCGAGTTCCCCCGGATGATTCGGGCGTCCAAAGCCCCGAATCATCAGGGTAACTCGGGTCAGGGCCAACTCGGGTTCGTTTTTCGGAAATCCGAACCCGAGTTGCCCCGGGCCTGAGTTACCCCGGATGATTCGGACGTCCGAAGCCCCAAATCATAAGGGTAACTCGGCTCAAGGCTAACCCTGGGGTTCGTTTTTCGGAAATCCGAACCCGAGCTGCCCCGGGCCCGAGTTACCCCGGATGATTCGGGCGCCCAAAGCCCCAAATCATCAGGGGTAACTCGGGTCAGGGCCAACTCGGGTTCGTTTGTTCGGAATCCGAACCCCAGTTGCCCCGGGCCCGATTTGCCCCGGATACTTCGGGCGCCCAAATTTGGGCGTCTGGCCACAGACTCCTCACCCCCGCCTCCACCTCCACGCATCGACTATTACAGCTTCCGCCAGTTCATGACTCCGACCTCTCACATGCAGCAACTGACTCTCCAGTTCCCCCTCCGACTGTCGACCTCCAGCTTCCACCCTCTCGTCATTCCGACCTCCATCATCAAGCACCCGACCTTCCACTTCCACCTCCACCCATCAGGAGCGAAAGAAGGACGTACATGTACATGAATCCACGCTGGTTTCGAGAGCACGCATTGAGCAAATGTTAGTATACCGCGGCCAGTCTCGCAGATCGAGGGGCCGTGTTCATGTACATAGTTGGGCGCGTACGTCCTTTGTGGGCTCCCTAACCCACGGACCTCAAGCTACCAGCTCAACACTCCGACCTCCACCAGCACCAACACCAACCCCAGCAAAGACCAAGGCAACCACAAACAAGCTGCCTGACACCAGCACAGACCACCATAGAGCATCAGTTACGACCACGCGACCGTCCACGACGGCTCTAAGAACAAGGAATCCTCCCCATCCTCCCCTCCCCTTCTGTTCCGCACATCTGTTTGTATATGTCTCGCATGCATGCCTCACCGTACACCGTACTATTTCGGAGGCCTCGGCCTCACTCACCTGGTCTTCAGTAGGCCTGGATTGCTGTCCGCATTGGTGGCCATTCGCTCATTCGTTCTACCTTGATGGATCCCAGCTTGTCTTTGAAGAATAGTTTGACCACCCACTACGAAGCTACCTCAGTGCGACTTTTCGCTGGCATCTGGCAGGCGCGCCCTAGGTGGCGCGTAACCACGGTACCTAACTCGGTGAGATCAGCGTGTTCTATAGAGATGTCGGTTTCTATATTTGAATCCCCCCAGAACGTTGTTGCTCCCATGACTGAGCATGTCGATACACATGGCCCTGATAGTGCCCCACTTGACTAGTTCCACGCTTTCCCTGCGTGTAGGCACACCATACGCACAGCGAGTTGTACGTACTGCCCCAACCGGAAGGAACATCTACACACG